GACAAATTATTTTCCAACAAATCTATTCGGTCTAAGAGTTTGCCCATTGCAGCATCATGTTTTAGTATCACTTCATTAATTTGGCATTTTCTCCACTTCATAGCTGTGTTTAATGCCTTTTCAGCTTCCTCTCACTCCATTTCTACTTCATCTTCCAACTCTTCCACTTTTATTTCCAGTTCTTTTTGCTTTGCTTTCAATTCAACAACTTTTTCTTCTAAAACAGCATTCTTTTTCTTGGTAAGTAAAACCAAAAGCTTCTTCATAATTTAATGCTTCACTACCAAAACTTTTAACAATACTTTCAGGAGTGAATTTGTTGCTAAAAACAACTCTTCCAATTTCAATTCCATTCTTTTCTGGATAACTTACTCACCATTGTCAACTCAAGTGAATCTTTTTAAGGTTCTTAAACTTGTTCCAGTATATTCTGAACTTTCAGTAAGACTGTGAACTGCATTTCAGATTTTTAGCTTAGTCTTTTTCTTTTTCAGCTAATTGCTTTTTCAATAATTCTATTTCATTTATTAGTGCTTTATTTGTTTGTTGTTGTTTGTTTATAATGTTTACCATGTTTGTCCTTTTTTTTTATTTATTCTTCTAATATACTTATATCCTTTTTATAAGGGTATGTTAAGTATATAAATTATTTTAGAAAAAGCCAACAATATTGTCAAAAGATTAAACTTAATGACAGTAAGGGAATAAATTAACAAGTTGTGAAGTAACAAAGGTAATTTTATTCTAATATATTATTCATTGTCAGTATAGATTGGTCTTGGGCAAGTAATATCTTTGAATTCATCTCTAACAAATGGACGAATATTCTGGTCTGGTAAAGATATTCTTGCTTTGTAATCCAAAGGAGGTGGTGTTAAGACTAAAATAAATAAAGATTTAATTTCTTCAAAAATATCTGCTTTCTTAGTTTTCAATAAATTGAATTCAGTAAAAGGACCATTAGCAACTTCTTGAACTTTCACTGTACCAAGATTAGATGTTTCAAAAAGAAAATGTTGATATTTCTGTATACTTGGTAATTTCTTAAAACAAATTCCCAAAATAGCTTTAATATCTAAATATTGAAAACCTTTTCCATCTTCATAACACTGAGCTTTATTTAATCCAGCTGGACTAGACTTTTTTATTACCTCAACCACATGACCCAGACAGTCTACTCTTATTCTTCTATAGAATTTTTTAATCATGCCACAATTACCATCACATTTGAATTTTGTATGCCCAGGAATCATGAAATTCAATTTAATGCTTTCATAATAACCACAAATTACCAAATGTAAATAAAATTAAATAGTTGTATTATTTTTATTTTGTCCACCAGCATCATCACAAGTAATCTTTAAATGCTTTTCTAGAGTTCCGAATGGGTCAGGTTGACCATATTTCGAGTCGGGTCATGAATTTGATTTGACCTGTGGGTCACATGGGTCACACAGGTTAACATGGGTCCAATATGCCAAATGTAGGGTTGTTGATGAAACATAATGGGTTGGGTTGGGTTGGGTTGGGTTCATATTAACCCAACCTGGGTTAAATTTACTGGGTTAATACTCCATGGGTTACTCCGGGTTGCTTCATGTAGTAATAATAGGACCTCGGATAATTATAATTGAACTGGTATTGAGAAAAGTGGGAAGTGATTAAGGTTGCTTGCCAAAACTCATCCAGAAATCAATCAGCAGGGTTTCGGCAGGTTACACATTAATTGTTTATTAGAG